AAAAAAAAAAAAAAAAAAAAAAAAAAAAAAAAAGTTGAGAGAATCTCTGTAAATCAAAAGGCTGGACCAAGAAAATCAGGAGAGGAGGCAAGATAAGATCCTGAGTCTGGATCCCCACACAAATCTTCACCATCTTTATCGGAATCAAAACCTTAGAAATGCCGAGGAAGAAGAAGAAGAAGAAGAAGGAGAAGGTGATCGTGAGCCGAATCACATCTCCCTGAAAACCCCCCACGAGCCACCGACGGCGTCGTTTCAGGAGCTTTTCCATCAAACCCACCTCCTTTACGGCCGCCAACCGCCGCCTCCGTCTCCCCCGGAAACGCTGTTTACCCCACCTCCGCCTCCGCTTCCGCTGCCCAAGAAGCGGCCGTACTTCCCTATGTTCGAGGGAGACGGCCACCTCAACCCGCCTCCGCCTCCATCGAGGACCGGCGGCGGCGAGATCGTCGCGGTGCAAGGCGGCCGCATCGTGCGGTCCACTGGACGGCAGGACCGCCACAGCAAGGTCTGCACGGCGAAGGGCCTCCGGGACCGCCGAGTCCGCCTGGCGGCGCACACCGCCATACAATTTTACGACGTGCAGGACCGCCTGGGCTACGACCGCCCCAGCAAGGCCGTCGACTGGCTCATCAACAAGGCCAAGGCCGCCATCGACGGGCTCGCCGAGCTTCCTGCCTGGCACCCCACCGCCGCCGCCACTTCCTCCCCGCCGAACACCGGCTCCGTGCCGGTAAATGCCCGGAAAAATCTCCAACAGCAGAACCAGCCGCACGAAACTGGGGTTTCCGGGAACGAGCACGTGTCGGCGTTTCTGCCGCCGTCATTAGACTCCGACGTGCAGTTTCAGAGTTTCCCCACACACGATTTGTTCTCGAGAAACAGCAGCAACAGTAACAGCCAGGATTTAAGGCTCTCTTTGCAGTCGTTTCAAGACCCAAACTTTATCCACCACCACCCACAAACCGAGCAGCACGCGCAGTCTCAGGGACAGCAGCACGTCCTTCTGACCGGAATCCCGCTCGGATTTGACGGCTGGCGATCCCTGCCGGAGAACCTTCCTTCTTGGAATTCCGGCGGTGTTGCAGGCGGCGACTTTAACCAATTTCTTAACAATTCACAGAGGGGACCCCTTCAGTCCAGTAACACACCTTCGGTTCGTGCTTGGATAGACCCATCGGCAGCCATGGCCGACCACCACCACCACCCCCAGGGAACTTTGCCCGTTTATCCCCCATCGTCGTTTTCCGGTGGCATTGGCTTCTCGGGATATGGTGGGTTCTCTGGGTTTCACATCCCGGCACGAATTCAGGGTAGCAAGGAAGAGCACGATGGATACTCAGACAAGCCATCCTCTGCTTCCTCCGATTCCCGCCATTGAAGCTTCTTCTAACTCACTTTCGCTTAACTAATCCTCTTTTGATCAGGTGACAGTTCACAAGATTTTAATTTAAATTTTCGCTCTTATCTGTATTCTTTAGCTTGAATGCTTGATATTAAAAATTAAATTTAATTGTCTTTGGCTTTAAAAAAATTGCAGGTAGACAAAAGAAAAAATCAAGAAGATGAGGATGAAAAGAGAGCTTGAGTGAGTTTGTTCTCAATGGCGGTCTCCTGTTCCGGTAAGGCGAAAGAATTCTTGATCATATCCCGGTTAGCATTCTACGTTAGTTGCTCTATTGTTTAAGAGATCCCTAGTTGTTTAATTTCATGTTTCATGCCCAAATGAGCTGAGTAAAAAGCTCTTGACTTGTTCTGCCACAGACCATTTGAATTTGCTTCCTTATGTTATAACAATTCTGTTATGTTGATGTGAACATTTGCTTGTTGTGTTAAATTAAATTTAAACTATTGATCATTTAATTTTCATAAAGCTTTAATCTTTGTAATATTAATACAACAAGATTTTCTACATTAGTATTCGACAACATCAAAATCCGAACTAGGTGTTGCTTCGTGAGTTCAAACCAGTTTGAGTTTTTTTTTTTTCTTCATCCGACTTCTTAATAGCATGCTTTAAGCCTTCGTAGCCCACATAGAAAATTCAAATTGTTACTTGTTTTCGACATTTGAATCTTTCAACAAAACCTATCTTCTCGGTACAAAGGAGATAATGTGTTGTTTGCTTCTTATAGTTGCTTGGCCATTTTTGGGTACAAAATCGAAACTTGCCTGGCGTTCAATCGCTTACAATATTTTTTTTTTTCAGCTTTCGATCGAGTTGACTTGTTTTTTGAGCAGTTGTTAAGTCAGCTCCCATTTGCATTTGAAGAAATGTAGTGTAGTATAAATAGACAGCAATTAACATCTGGTTAATTATTCTAGCAGATGAATGAAAGGCTAAAAAATCCACAAGAAGTGTGAAAAATTGAATGAAAATGTCATATTATGGGAAAAAAAACACCCCCTGAGTACAACCAAAATTGGGTACTAACTAACAATAAGTGACAATCATTAATTGCAAAATGGTCCCCAGCTCTAGAAAATGTCCTCTGTAGATTGTTTGTTTAAAAATCTCTTCAAGAGCCTAGCTGGAAACAGTTCTATCTGTACCTTTGCACATATGAGAAAAATAAAAATTTCAATAAATTAAAAAAAAAAAAAAATTAGTAATAGAATATTTAGCTTCTATTGAGATAGTGACAATTGCTTGCTGGTTGTTGGTACTTTAAGGCTGATTAATTTTTGGAGGAATTTCATATATATTTTCGGTTTATTTCAACCTACTGTAGCCACTGGGTTTTTTACCGTTGGATCAACACACACACCCATGTGGGTATGTATGTGTATGTGTCGATCTGAGTGTAAAAAAACCCGGCGACTGCAGTAGGGTCGAATGAACCTATATTTTTTCACAATTTTTTTAGGTAGTATGAGCCTCTGAGGCTTTGCAGATCAAACTGAATAGAAAAAAACAGATTTTGGTACAACAATCCAATCCAAATAACAAACACAAAAAGATAAGGAAAATAGAAAAAGCTTCAAATCTCCCCCAGAAATTTCAACACAGACAAACTAACCCACACTCAAGTGACTTATAAGTTACACAAATCCCTCTTATCCTTTTATTGACAAACCACCAGAAAAGATTATTTCATAATTTCCTCAAAATATTAGTTGATACCAACCGAACCCGAGCATAAAAACCGAGTCTTTTTTTCCCTTGGTCCGTAGAGTTTTTTGTTGGGTCATCATGCAGCGGCAACTTGGGAAACTCCCGATGCTTTTCTTGCATGCGCGGAGGCTTTTCCATCAGTCGAGGCTTTTTTGACAGATTTCGAAACCGATTCGCTCGTTTTTTGTTTGGTTTCAACTTTGTTGACGAGCGAGGGTCTGTACCGATTTTCCCACGGCCGGGCGGCTATCCACCGCTCTTTCCAGCTCCATCCCCAGCTTTCTTTGCTGATGTCATAGTAAGATTGGCCAAAATACTGATTTGAACTTGCCCTCCACTGCCAAAAATAAAAAATAACAAAGAGATGATCCTAGTTTTAGGATAAAAAATAAAATAAAAATCATAATAAAATGGTTATTTGAAATGTCATTGATATAATTACAATATATAATTATAATATTTGTTTTAAATAAATTGAGATGCCTGATGA